TATGTATAATCACCTACAACTTTGGCTTTGTTCAGATAGAACTTCTGAGAAGTTCATACTGATTCGATTTTTTATTAAAAAGTTCCTCGGCATTATTTATCCCTGACTGTCCTCACTTCCATTGCCAACTCTACACAATGGTATGAAACAAAAGGCACTCTTAACTCCAATAATAATTATGAAAATAAATATGAATTAATTACAAAGAGAGCGTTCTGCATATAGAAGTTATTTGCTTTAGACTTCAGATTTCAAAAGGATATTTAATTAAATATGCTTGAACTTGAAGTTTGAATTTCTAATTAACTGAACCACATCTGTTATGTGTCTAAAGTGCAAACAATGAAAACTCATCTAAAGTAACTAATGATGATATTCCTATCCCTGGCTCTGTTAAAATAATTAGAAGAAAGGCAAATTCCACTAGACACAGGAATCTATTAATCCAACGTGTTGGAATCATCCCTAAAATTTCCAGAACAAATTTCAAATTCTTAAGGAAAAAGAAAAACCTATAAAAGGGAATTTGGGTTTGATAAAATGCGAACAGTTTTCGGTTTTAGCGGCAGTACTGCTAAATCTGTGGTTCTCGTTGTGGAAAAAGAAGAGTAGAGGGAATGATACAACACTAAGAGAAAGGGAAGGTCGTATTGGGTACATAGTGTTAAGAGCAAAGAATTGTTGGTCCTGTTGCACTCATTTTGTTTGTTTAATGTCTAGTATTTATTGACTGATTCAAGCAAACTTTTTAAAGGTGAGGAAGGGCGTATGAATTTGTTGTTGTTGTTTTAACATTGGTCAATAATAATGACTCTACATACCTATAATCTTTGCTACCTTAGCTAAAGAGACCACCTTTTACAAATGAACCTGTGAGGGTCCCACTGAAACAATGGATAGCCACATATAGCTGTTAGAACTGTAAGTTATATAAGTGCTCCTTAGTCAACTACGTTATTTGACGAACGTACGGAGAATAAGTAAAGAAAGCTTCGTATGTATCTGATTTAGATTTAAAACTGACATTCTTTCTATTATTTGAAAGGGAGCTTCCTTCTCAGAGTTAACTCTAGGTCACTACCCTCCCCACACATTAAGTCTCTCAGCTACAAGCTTGTGTTCCATACACTAGATGCGATCTTAACCCCAATAACAGTGATGATATTAACTAGAAATACAAGGTAAATTTAAAATATGCCTGTATGTTTTCAATAAATATAAAACATGAAATGCAATTTCCATACCTCTCCATTTTCCTTCTGTAATTTGGATTTTATGGATAAGCAACAGTTAGTGTCATTTGTCTTCCTTAATTCTGAAAGTTATAAAACATCATTTCAGTTTTTAGTATACTATTTACCAAACATTTATAAGCTTCAATGTAAAAACACCCCTCAGGTGATTCTTTCTTTGCAAGAAAATTAAGGAATATTTTGAAATTATATTATGTTGGGAAGTTATGTGATATATAAGCTCTTCTGATTTTCCATTGCCCATAAAAATATGGTCAAACCAAAGTGCCACTATACAGACTGCTTCAGATCTCATTATATATTTCATGGGATCTACATTGCCCTGAGTCAGCTTTTTAAATATTCAGTTTCCCTAGCAGTGTCATTATGTATGGAATATTTTAGAGCAAATATTAACATAATGCATTTAAACAGGACTTTTTCAAAGAATGTAAATTTATGTGTTTAAAAAACAAACACAAGTTAAATAGAAAATTTATATGGGGATTTATAGATCCTAAAGATAAATATCTGTTACATGGGCTAAAAGAAACAAAAAAAATAAAGCTACCTACAGGCAAGAAAATATTAACCTAGAATTTTAAAAAATAGTGTATTCCTATTACCTGTTGCTATTCGATGAAAAATTATTGGAATTGGCTCTGTAGTAACTAATACATCTTCATCATTTTCTGAACTTGACACGTATGTATTATCTGCAAAGAAATATGGACAATTAAAGGCATAGTAATTTGAAAAAAGACACCCTTTATTTAAAAAAATGAGGTTACATCCACATCACTTCTATCACTCATGAAGCACATACTACTGCTCTGATTAATCTCAGAAAAAATTACGTGTATTTCAGATTTATGTGTGATTTAATTTTAAATGGCCTCTTTAAAGATGTTTGCATCTCCTAGAGAAATAGAGACTTTGGGTAGAAATTATAGAGATTATAGCCCAAATATATCTCTCATATTCCGTGGGGCAACAGATCATTTGGATGCAATTGCTTGCCCTAACTCACTGAACAGGGTCCTTCCCAGTATCAGTACCTGCTAACCTTCCTAAGCAGGTTAGTGGTTGGAAGGAGAAAGCTAAACAAGAACATTTGGTGCAACAAATTCAATATCAAGTCTCTAAAAAATTTGAACTAAAGCTTTCATTGAAAATCATACCGCCGTATTACTCTAATACACATTTTAAATTGATATGAAGTCTCACAACTCTTCCTCCATGAATTTTCATTAAATACTATACAAGTTGAATTCATAGAACATTAAATTATTCCACAGCTTACTTAATTATTTACTCATCATTTATTTTCTCTGGAAAATATATTTTATAAATCTAGGATTTTTCCCTAATAAATACAGACCTCCGCTTCTATGGTAATATAACGCACAGCCATTTATCCTAGTTGGTTCATTGAGGAGTACAGAGCATCTGTGAGAGAGCTGTTTAACAAACACTTCATCAGTTCATCAGCAGTGGTCCTATAATACTCTCAGTGTTGTATAAAATATATAAAATATAAAAATAAAAAGTGTAAAATATTCCCAACAAATAATAGAAACCTGTATCAGTTTCTGCAAAAGGAAATGAGTATTCTGACAACTGTCTGAGTACAAGATAAAAGATCTTGAGCCAAGTTTTCATAATATTGTGTCAGTACAGTGAGAACATGATCTTTAACTGATAGATATCAAAGTCATTACTTTATTTCCAAAGAAACATCTGCACTGTTTTTAAGACCTAGAGTAGTGAGTCAGTGAGAGCGATATGTAGTCACAGCGTAGCTATAAAGATGCTCAACAGAGACACAAGGCTTTCATAGTTATTCTGGAAGGTAAGAGGACATGAGTATAGATTGGATTTGAAACAAAACAGGTTTGCCCCATTACTTTATTTTAATTGCAAATTTTGCCTTGTTTGGTTTTCAAATAGCATCAAGGAAGGTGTGAGATTTTTGTGTTTATCAAGTGGGACCACAAATTAAGAAATGGATTTAATATAAATTTACCTTAATTACTGTCTCATCATATTGATTGAGACTTTGACGTTTCATCTGGAGTCTCTTCTGTCAGTAACCTCATACGCTGAGGTAGGAATCAAAACCCCTCTATCAAAGCCATTATTTAAATTTCTTAAACCCTCATTCAGAGTCTTACTGATCCAAGTTATTTGCTATGGAATCAACTGAATTAGACTTTTCCTGTGCACAATGGATTCCTTGAAGTAAACTTATGGAGAAAATGAGTATTAGAAGTGTGGATTAGGGGCACGTGGGTGGCTCAGTCGCTAAGCGTCTGCCCTAGGCTCAGGTCATGATCCCAGGGTCCTGGGATCAAGCCCCGCATCAGGCTCCCTGCTCAGCGGGAAGCCTGCTTCTCCCTCCCCCACTTCTTCTGCTTGTGTTCCCTCTCTGTCTCTCTCTCTGTGTCAAATAAATAAATAAAATCTAAAAAAAAAAAAAAAAGGTGTGGCTTACAGTAACGGAATAGCTGACCACCAACTAGAAGGGGAGATCCAGAAAAATCCGTAAAATGGACACAGTATCACGCAGTATCTCAGTGTCATGGAACAAGGAGGATTTTACTACAGCTTCAAGAGGCAAGTAAGTTAGGATTTTCTGTTTATGAAAATGGGGAAGTGAATAACTCAATTTAAAGGTTCAAATGCTTTACGTAGTGTTGATACTGGAAGGCAGTCAACTTTGATTCAAGAGAATATAATTTGGTGAAGACATGTTGCATAATGCTCAAAGACAGGACTACACAGTCAACCATATCATTTTCTAAGAGATTTTCTACCAGTTTGTATTTTCATCAGTATTTGGGCATTAGAACACTTTCAATTTCTGTTTCTGGCTTAATTTATCCAAGCCAAAATGTTTTCAGGTTTCAAGACAATATCTATTAAATCATCATTACAACATTAATAGGCCAGGTCAACGGGGTATATACCCAAGTGAAGAACAGAAATATAGGAAAGTAGACAAAGCACATAAAATCTAGACCCAGCTACCAACTAGTTACTGATCCCTTTTAACTAAGCCACAGTCAGCTTAGTTCTAAAAATGAAGGTTTGCTGATGCACTTTGAAGATCGGTCCAGCTGTATGAATGAATTCTGTTTTCTTTTTGTTGTTGTTGTTTAAATAATCATTTCTAAACCTTCCTCAAACTATTTTGACATCTGTAATAATAACATCATCTTTGTTTAGACATGAGAAAGTAGGACATAAAAAGAATAAGGAATGCATTTAAGGTAACAGAATGAGTCAGTGACAGAATAAAATGTTTTCAAACTCAAATTCCTTCTCTGGAATTCTCCCACTTGACTCCAGAGCTGCCAAATTTTTTTTTTTTTTTTGAAACTTCTGGAGACAGTTAGGTTCTTTAATGTGTAAGTTTTGTAGAGGACCTCAAGATCTTTATTAAAGGCTGTTAACAGTATGAATATTTTCGGGGTGCCTGGGTGGCTCAGTCGTTAAGCGTCTGCCTTCGGCTCAGGTCATGATCCCAGGGTCCTGGGATCGGGCCCTGCATCAGGCCCTGCATCGGGCCCTGCATCGGGCCCTGCATCGGGCCCTGCATCGGGCTCCCTGCTCGGCGGGAAGCTTGCTTCTCCCTCTCCCACTCCCCCGCTTGTGTTCCTGCTCTCACTAACTCTCTCTGTCAAATAAATAAATAAAATCTTTAAAAAAAAAAACAAAAAAACAGTATGAATATTTTCTCTTCCCCGCCCTACCAGACTATGCAAGCATTACTGGAACTCTCGTGGACAATTGGGGAGAGATGGGTAGAAAGCCATGAAAAAGCATCTCCTGAACTATTGTTTTCATTCCATTTCAGATGCAACATGATTTAAGCCAAGTCATTCCATTATTCATTACTATGTAACTAAAGTGATTATAATTTTATTGGTTTTATAATATAATCTGGATGTCTCCCCTGAATGTTATATATAATATTCATGTACTTCATGTCAACTTTCAAGCCAGTCATTTATTATCCCTATTTTAAAGATGAGGAAACCACGGCTCAGAGAAATTAAGCAATTTGCCCAAATTATTTCAGTAATTAAAATTACACATGACTAGTAAGTGGTGAAACTGTCTGAATCCAAACATCAATGCTTTGTTATGCTTTTTTAATATCAAAAACTGTCACTCAACAATTGCAGTATGTTGTAAAGCATATAAAAGGGATGAGAGAATTTACACCCACCAATAGGTGAGTCTCCTAATTAAAGGTGGGAATTGATGAGAAAAAACTCTGCTGTTCTATTACAGCAGAGCCAATTATCTGTGACTTGTAATATACTTACCTTCAAAAAGCAAAATCTGTCTACAGTGTATATGACATAAGGAAGTACAAGTAAACCAGAAGGTTGCTCTATTTCTTCACTTTATTTTAAAGAACCAACATATCATTTAGCATTGCATTTATATACATGTTATTTAAGGTAAAACTAATGCTCACTAAAGATCGTCTTTGTTCACAAAAGCAAAACTGTTGACTAATTTCAATAGATGACACGGTTACTTAATAGATTGGAATTATAAAATGATAAATTCGTTCCTAAGGAGATAAACAGGGTGACATAATCCTGAATTTGAAGGATTATGCTCATACATTTCCACAGGACAAAGAAAGTTCCAAATTTTCAAACTTGGATGATGAAATAATCACTCAACCATATAATCCAGGAAACTAGGATGGGGGAAAAAAAAGACTGAGGAACATTAGCAGAAGGAATTAACAAAAGTACTATCAAGATTACTGCATTTAGAAATTAAAAATGAAGTAAAAAGCTATTTGTTTGAAAGGATTTTTACAGTAGGTAAAACTCTGGGGAAGAAAAATCAAAGGGAGAAAAAGGCAAGAACAAATGTAAAACAACAGAAATGAGAAACAGCCACAGAGATGCGGAAGATTTTCAGATGTACATACTGAACACTATGAACAACTTTTTGTTGAAAAGGTTGCACATTTCACCAACATAGTGAGCTTTCAAGAAGAACACATGTTTAAAAATGACTAAGAAATAGAAAATCAGAACAGATAATAATCGTGGCAGAAAAATAACGATTATTAATCCCAGAACCATCCCTAAAAAGATACCAGGCTCAGAGAGATTTGCTTGCATGCTCTGTTGAATGCCAAAGAATAGGTACAATGTCAAGCCTTTGGTGGCAAAGTATATGACAAAATGCATCTAATTCTTCTTTTTTTTAAAGATTTTATTCATTTATTTAATTGACAGAGAGAGAGAGACAGTGAGAGAGGGAACACAAGCAGGGTGAGGGGCAGAGGGAGAAGCAGGCTTCCTGAAGAGCAGGGAGCCTGATGCGGGACTCGATCCCAGGACCCTGAGATGATGACCTGAGCTGAAGGCAGACGCTTAACCAACTGAGCCACCCAGGCACCCCCAAAATGCATCTAATTCTTAAAGATCAACATTAAGATATCTACTAATAATATAACTTGTCACCTTGTTGTTCAAAGGAGAAAACATATGTGTTACCTCAACAGAAGTTAAACAAGAATTTGCTAAAGACTTAATACTCATTCTTTAAAAAAAAAAAAAAAGCTTGGTAAATGAGAAAAGTAGTTTTCTGAAAGTATGGTCACTAATTTTGGAAAAAAAAGGACAAAGCTGCCAACTTTCATATAGATTATTAAAAATTAATCTGGAAGTTCTAGTAGCGTTATGGGAGAAAAAAACACAAGGATGAATATTGGAAAGGGAAAGCAAACATTTAATTTTTATACAACATTATCTACATGAGAAATCAAGTGTATTAACTGAACTGTTAGTACAAATATATGTAGATTAAAATTTAACAATGGGGAAATATTATCATGGTAATATTCACTTTGAAGAAAGCTCCATAAAAAATACTACCACTACTTCTCCCCAATAAGTGATAGTTAGGAATTAGAATTGAATTATAGGCTTGATTTTACCACCAAACTACATGTCCTTGGGAAATACTATTTAACCTCTCTTGGCATATTTCTTCAAGTATAAAATGTGACGACAGCCTTTGTTCTGCCTATACACAAACTGGCATTTAGAGTCAATTCAATTATGTAGATGAAAATACTTGGTACACAGTGTACTGGTTACATCAACCAATTCAAAATACGACCTCCAAATGCACTAATTTCTCTCACCCATACTTGGTGTTTTATTTACACTCCTTTTATTTTTAGAAATGAAATTATATTGTAAATTCACTACAGACTCTCTCCAGGATGGGAATTTGTTTTAAAAAAGCACAAATGATAACCAGTGTTTTAGTTTTAAGTTTCAATTTTTGTATATTGCGTTTCCAAGAGGGGCTCCCTCCCGCAAGGTGAGAAAAAGTCAGTGATGCATCTTGGCCACAAGAGGGAGCTAAACATTTGGTTCGCTTGGTTTACCAAAGGCATCTTCTGCCCTATTTCCTGTGCTACAGAATTATTCACTTAACAGTCTTCAAGGTGGGTTTTGATTTGTGGCATTATTTCTATCACCCTAACTTAAAGTCCTCTCATGATTGACATTTCTAGAAGCTGCCTCAGATGAGAAGCACAAAAATTATAATATTTACAACACTGAGGTAACTTTAATTTTCCTAACATACTTATTTAGCAAACATTCAGCATCAAAAACATCATAAGGGAGAAAGTTGATTGCAAAATCATCTACAAAAAATTTTTCTTCATAAATATTTTGTCTTGCTATTTCCATGAAATCTGCCTAGAACACTTTATATACTTTTTATATAAAAATAAGCATATTTTTAATAATTAATAACTCCCCATATAAAACTATACAATAGTCTTAAAGAATACTAACGCTTAACACATGTGGCGATCATAGCAAAATAACTGTAAGATAGTTTATGATTTACATAATTATTTTTATTTTTATTTGTTTTTAATGTTAACCATGGTACTTTTTTTTAAGATTTTTTTTTTAAAGATTTTATTTATTTATTTGAGAGAGAGAGAGAGAGAGAGAGCACGAGAGGGGGGAGCAGGAGAGGGAGAAGCAGACTCCCTGCTGAGCAGGGAGCCCGATGCGGGACTCGATCCCGGGACTCCAGGATCATGACCTGAGCCGAAGGCAGTCGCTTAACCAACTGAGCCACCCAGGCGCCCTAAGATTTATTTATTTATTTGAGAGACAGAGAGAGAGTGAGAGAGAGAGAGCATGAGCAGGGGGAGGGGCAGAGGGAGAAGGAGAAGCAGACTCCCCCCTGAGCAGGGAGCCCTACATGGGGCCCCAGGATCATGACCTGAGCCAAAGGCAGACACTTAACCAACTGAGCGACCCAGGCACCCCTATAAAATTATTTTTAAATGTAACATTTGATATTACAAAAAAAAAAAAAAAGATTAAGTGCATGGTGCAAACGGCCACAAAAAATACTAGCCTAAATGCTAAAGAAGTAAGTTTTACATCTTCATACTACCTTATGAACTAATTATTTTTTAATAATACTCAAAGTACATATAATCAAAGTTACTTATAACAATCTAGTAATTTTACATAGAAAAATATGATCCAAATCATGCACAGTATGTGAATAAAATGGCTAGATTTGAATAAGAATTGATTCCAATTTATGACACTGGCAGATCACAACAGTATAATCTGGTGACCATCTGATTTTATTAAGTCAGATGTTGGAATATACATACATATATGAAATATAGGCAGTTAAAATTTGCTGTTCTTTGTCACAAAATATGATAAACACTAGATTCCTGGATTATACTCTTTTCTCTGAGGTAAACTAATCAAGGTGTATTTATTCTGCACTAAGTCTGCAATCCTTATGCTCTTATTCAAGATAAAATTATAGATATCACTTGTGCAGAAAATACTAAAGAGGAACATCTTGTTTGTATCTTCAAATTGCCGTGACTGAAATGCTGGCATCCACAGCCTGGGCTCTGTGAGATGGCATGCATCTCGAAAATAGGACTGACCATGGCCTAGAAGAAAAACACTTGTTTGATTTACAGAAAAATGGATCTGCAGTGTTCTTACATTCTGTCTTCTAGGGACAAGTGTTTGTGGGCCTACTAATCTATTTCAGGAGACAGACACACAGTGAGAAGAGCCATGCATATACAAGATACCTAGTCTAGTCCAGTGGGACAGTCCACAGGCTCTGGACTACTGGGTTCAAGTCCCAACTCTTCCTCTTACTAGGTGTGTCATCATTCAGGAGGAAAATGGTGATGTTATGGTAACAATATCATAGGATTATTGTGAGAATTGTTTAATCATTCATATGCTTAGAAAAATGAAGACAGGCCTATTCTTTGCTATTACTATTTTTAGCTATTAGTTTAGCTGTTATTCTTACCTATTATATTTACGTTATGAAAAGCCAAATGATGTTCCAAATCCAACAACTAAACCAGCTCAGAGAATCTTTGTTTTACTTGCAATGAGATAAATATATACAGGCTGAAGCTATCACATGGGCTCAAGTAAATGACTTTTCATCAGGAAACTATTTTGCTTCTGGACTGCATCTCAGGGTAAGACATGAATCTCACAGGCAACCAGCAGAATTCTTCTAGATCTTCAAGTCTTTTCCTGCCAACATTTCACTCCTAGATATATTTATATATATTTTCCATCTCCAGAAGGAAAAAATATTCAAAGAAATCATGACATGAGTATTTGTAATAAAAAATAGAAAGAAGAAAAGCATACCTGGGTAATCTTCAGATACATGTACTGAATAGGATACACTGTTAAAACAGGGAAAAAAGAGAAAAGAAAGGCTCAAATTACTGCTAAGGTAAGTGTTTTTACAAAATAAAAGCCAACCTCACATTACCCATTCATTTTTACAGATATAAGTATAAACAAAAAAAACCTCCTTGGTATTTGACATAGGAAACTTAACAGGTTTTTAAGATATATTTTCCATGAGTATAAATGGTTTTTGAAACATCTTTCTCCCAACAGTGGTACCTTTAGTATAGATAGGTCTTTTTATTCTCAGCAATATCTAATATTCCCTAATCTATGATCATTTGTGTCGTTTGCTTAGATTTTATCAAATCTTTTTTTTTAACCAAACATAAAATATTCCTCCTATTTGGTACAGCAGTTCAGAATTTAAACATTTATTTTTAATACTGCTTCCCCACAATATGCTGTGCTTTTGAAACATGTCCTTTTCTTCAAAGAATTAAGAACAGGAAGACAGTGGAACTAACAATTATTCAACAGCCGCTCTCTCATCATCATGATATATAACAAACTATCTCCTGTTCTCAAAAGTATTGGGTTGCTTTAAAAATAATTTTTAAATTGCATTTTAACAATTTCACAACTCCTTCCTCAGTAACCCTACTGCCTCCTCCAGGTATTATCTCAGTGACGTATGGGAAGTTATCATGCTTATTTGTTCACTTTCCTATCTCTATCAGCTAGACTGTAAGTGTCTTGAGGTAAGGGTCCATGTCTATTTTTATTTCTAACACAGTCACCTATTATGGTGCATGACACTCAGCACTTGTTCAATATTAGCTTTCTGAATGGATCAGGGGAACTGCCGCCTGCCAGAGAAAAGTCAAAATTTAGTTTAAGTTCAGCCAAATTAACTGCGTGTTAAGAAACCCCCTCCAAAAAAAAAAAAAAAATCAATTCTCTTTGAAGGAACATACAGAATAGAGTTGATGCAAATTATCATTCACAAAGTAAATTCAATGCAACCCAAATTACTTGACATATGAACAAGCAGGAAAATCTAACCTATATTCAAGTGGAAATCTACCCAAGTGCTGGATTAGCCCACAATGATGTTAAAACAGTCAATATAAATATGCTTAAGGAAGCAAAAAAGGAAAATCCAATCCAAAGAAGAAACAGATGATCACCGTCTTGTGCGACATGAGCAAAAGAGCAAACATTTTGTATTACTCAAGTTTCAGGAGGTGAAGAGAGAGAGAAAAATGCAGGGGGAAAAAAAAAGAGCTGAAAATTTCCTCGTTTGGGTGAAAGACCAATGTACAGACTAAGAAGCCCAGAAAACCCCAAACAGGGTAAGTGCAAAGACAGCTCCATCCAGGTACACAGAGTCAAACTGCTGAAAACCAAATATAAAGAAACATTTTTAAAAGAAGATAAAAACTTGACACATTAAATACAGGAAAAACAGTAAAAATCAATGTTTTCATAAGAAGCTAAGAAGGACAGAGGACAGTACAATGATGAAGATCTAGGGGAAGGAAGGTAGAGCTGACAACTATGAACCCAGAATTCTATATCCAGGCCATAGATCTTTAAAAATGAAGATAAATTAAAAAACTAACACATTAAAGAAAACTGGGGTTATTTGTCCCAGCAAACCCAAAGTAGAAAAAAATCCCAAAGTTCTCCAGGTGAATGATATCAGAAAATCAAATATCCAGAAGCAATGAAGAGCACCAGAAATTGTAAATATGAAAGACTATTTTTCTCTTAATGTTTTAAAAATACATGACTGTTTAAAGTAAAAGTTCTAACACTTCACTGTGGGATTTATAAAATATGTAAATGTAATACACATGACAATTACAGCATAATGTCAGGGAGGGGTTAAATGGTCATATACAGTTTCAAGGTTCCTACATCTTCTATAAAATGTTGTAATACTAACCCTAAACAATAACTCTAAGAAAAATTAAGGATATACTGTAATCCCTAGGACAAGCACAAAAAAACATTAAAAAACAACAGATAGATGAAGTGGAATTCTAAAATCATTTTGGAACATTTAATCCAAAAGAAGGCAAGAACAGAGGAACAAAACACCCAGAAGGGACAAATAAAAAACACACAGTAAATGGTGCCTGAATCTAATTGTACCAAGGATTGCATTTAATGCTAATGGCTGAATTACACAGAAGGGATTTAAAAAAAAAAAAAAAAAGGCAAGATCCAATTCTATACTGTCTTTAAGAGATTCACATTAAATATAACTGAAAGTAAAGGAGGGAAAAGTTATACCTCCATGCAAATGGTAAGCATAAGACTCAAGTGTTTAAATTAATAACAAAGACTTCAAGACAAAGATAGAAAGAGATCATTCATAAGGATAAAAGGGTGAATTTATCAGGATGAAGGCACAACAATCATAAATGTGTATGCACCTGATAACAGAGCTTCAAAATACATGAGGCAAAACCTGACAGATAAAGGGAGAAATGGACAACTCCACAATCATAGTTTGAGTAATTAATAGAACTAGACCCCCCCCCCAAATCATTAAAGACATAGAAGATCTAAAACAGATTTTCATTAAAAACTAATAACAGCAGAGTTATCTTTTTCTTTTCAGGTACACATAAATGGAATGTTCACCAAGAAAGATCATATACTGCACTATAAAACTAGTCTTAGTAAATGTGAATGCTTGGATGGTTGTGGTTCACCGTAGTTCATATCCTGGTTTCCTGGCTCATCTGGCTCTTATAACACTAAGTCTTAAGTCCTCAAAGAGCCACTGCCTTTTAGAATTTGAGTGGACTTTGGGCTATGTGACTGTGGCCACAGGCAATGCAACCCCTTCACGCAAGCCCAAGTCTTCCAGACTCTACCAATCAAACCCCTGGCATGCTGCTTAGTCCATGGAAAGAGATTACACAAAGACAAGAATGAATAAGGAAGTGAGTAGGAAAACAAGATGGTTAGTAATGAGACCAAGTACTGATACACTGTTCTTTCATAAAGTATATTTAATTGTTTAATTAATTCAAAAAGCATTTCTTGGTAATCTGATAAAAGACAAACATTATGTTAATAATGTTAACCAAGATTTAGGAAGAAAAAAATCAGGAGATGACTTTGTATGATTAATTTAGGAGGAAACAAAGAATATAAAACACAATGAATATGACAGACATAGGAACCTAAACATTTTAAAGCACAATAGTATTTTTTTTTTTACTTTTTATTTTTATAGAATTACAGGTTCACATGAAGTTTTACCGATAGCAGAGAGGTCTCATGTAGCCTTTATCCAGGTTCCCCCATTAATTACATGTTATATATGGATAGTATAATATCAAAAGCAGGAAATCGACATAGATAAAGTTTGCATATAGTTTTAGGTTATTTTATCACGTTTGCATCATGTACTCACTATCGTACATCAAGATATGAAGCTATTTGATGATTCAAGGATTTCCTTCATTCCACCCTCATTAGAGTCAAACCTGTCTCCTTTTATCCCAACATCCTTAACCCCAGGCAGACACTAATCAATTCTCCATCTCTATAATTTCGTCATTTCAAGAACATTATATAAATGGAATCATAGAGTATGACACGAAGCACAATAGCATTCTGAAGCGAAGTTAGTACTGTGAAAAAATTACTATGATTGGCAATATTTAGGATAGACTGAAGAAGAGGGAGATTGGATTCAGAAGCTACTATCAGTGGGGAGGTATGTAATGGGGAGGAGAAGGTGGGAACAAATGGCAGATGTTGGAGCCCAGCCAAGAGACCAGCTTTGGAAATCATGGCCCTGAATCAAATGCCAAGGATTAGAAGATAAAATAACTATGCCAGTGATGCTTCAAATAAGCTGGGGGAAATACACACTATGACCTCAATGAATTTATTTTCCCACAAGTCATCCCCTTAGACAATGGAACTATACTATGTAGAAATTAAATTATTGATGATCAAGGCAACCCTTCATCTGGCAGAACTATGTGACAGAAGCCTGGGATCTTGCCAGAGATTACACTCAATACCAAGCTGAATTAATTCTCAACAGCCTACCATCTCAACCAATAGGAGTTGGCTTCATTTCTTATCCATATGAATGTCCAAATCCAAAGGGAAGCCTTAATACGTTCCCATGTCTATCTCCAATTGAGGAGCCTGTTGTAATCAGGGCCACACACACAGAGATCAAATTCCAGCTTTGAGGCTTACTAGCTGAGTGGCATATGAAAAGTTAACTTCAACACACTCGGCTTCGATCTCTTTTCAGTAAAATGGGAGAATCCAGACCTACAGTACAAGCCTGCTGTGATGATTTAATGGTCTGACAGGTGTAAGGTCCCCAGAACGCCAGACACAGAGCAGTGGGTGCCAAGTAATTCTAGTCAGCTTCCAGTACCAGCAATGAAAATGTAGAAAAATGAAATTTCACATGAATGAAATGTTTATTGGGGAACTCAAGTTACTCAAAACCACAATATATTACGTTAATCAGAGACCAAAACTAACACTGATGATTTTATCTTACGGTTGTATTATCCTCATGATTTTAAGAGACATTTCCAGGTTCATGATCATACCTAATTTTTCAAATATAAAATAGAAAGCAAAAGCCCTACAAAATGACTCATCAGCTCCTGTGTTATATAGCATTTTCTTGGGAGTACACCAGAAGGAAAATCACCAGGGCTGTAAAATCCAAATCAGTTTCACTCTGTGGCTTACAGAGTTCTTAGGGAAACAATCTAGTACAAGCAGACATGGATGATTAAGCTAAAGGACCTAACAGGCAGGGCTGGGGGGGGCGGAAAAGGCAAAGAACCAAGCTTAAATAGATACAGGAGTAAGGGGAGCATGTGCTGTACATACTAAATACTAAAGCAGGTAAAATTATCATGAGGAAGTGAATGGGAAAGAAAGTGAATAAGAGAAGGAAGAGAAAGCTGGAGCAAGCTCTGAATTCTGATTCAGGAAAAAAAAAATGCCTTCAAAATTTTAGACTACGACGTTAAACTACAATTATACT